GGGGCTGCTGTCCCTCCCGCACCTGCAGAGCTGCGCCCTCCCCACCCCCGCGCCACGGAGGGCAGCGCCTCCTGGGATGCCTGGACCACGCCGCCGCCCCTCGCAGCCGTCTGGGGTCGGTCCACACTCCCGACACCGCCTCTGAACCTCCTGGGGACGACCCAGGCCCGGAGCCAAGACAGTCTGGGATAGAAATGGACAGTGGGGACCTAGGGCCAGGGATGGGGGGCTCAGAAAGCCCGTCCGAAGGAAGCCGCATCTACGGTGAACGATAAGGGCGTGGCCCCGAAAGCAGCTGGCGCGGGGGTGCTGAGGACCAGCAGCCTCTAGGAACTGGGGAGTCTTTCGGGGCCAGGGGCCGGGGCAGGGAGAGGCGAGGCCGGGACAGCTAAGGATGCGAACTTATCCTTGGGTCTCGGCGGTCCGCCCGTGCACGGACCGCGGGGCTGTCCCGCGATTGTCCTTTCCCCCCACCGCTCGCAAATGTTTTTTCTGAAGTTGGAACCACAACCATGCAGCTGGGGGAGCCCAGTCTGGCACCCCAGGCCCTCTCCCGTCCCTCACTCTTCAGGAGCTGCCCCTAATAGCACTCTTGGGGGGATACAGGCTGTCATTCATAGGCTAGGGGACGTGTGAGGGAAACCCATTAGTCCCCTTGATAGGGGCCTCTGGAGACCCCTCAGTCACGAGTGGCCACAGGCATGTCCACCTTCTATCCAGGTAGAGGATCCTGCCTGCCTCTTCTAGGAAGCCTGTGGCCAGGCACGTCCTGGACACAAGGCCTCCGGGGTCACTCTGGACTGCCCAGCACGGCGCCCGTCCTGCCCAGGCAGATGGAAGTACGGGTGAGTGGGCAGCCCTGTGTCTGGGGGAGGGGAGGCGGGCACCAGACCCAACCAAATACAGACAGTGCTGCCTGCGCCACCCCGCTCCCCCCAGCCTGGCTCCTGCTCCTGTCCACACCGTCCCCACACTCCAGGAGCGGCTGGGGAGTTAAGAGCAGCTTTTAGGGGATCCAGAGTGGGCCTTAGGGTCAGTCCTGTGAGACAGAAGGTGTCTGTATAGAAAGCCTTCGCAGTGAAGGGGGCTAGTGGATGGGGAGCCATGCGCTCTGTGTGTGTCCCTGGGCAGCCAGGGCTCCTAGCGAGCCCTCTATGGCCAGACCGGCTCCCTGCCCAAGTGGCCCTGTTTATAAATAGGCCACCAGCAGTAGGAGGTTGACACAGGGAGGCTGGTAATCAAGTGTGGCATTTCGAAGACAAGCACTGGCGGTTCAACCATCCCCGGCCTTGGGCCACGCTGCTGTCCAGCTGGCAGAGGGCAGCCTGCCCCAGGCCTGTGCCCTTAGCAGCCCTTCCAGCAGCCCTGCTCGCCCACTGCAGCCTGTAATAGCGCCCCCACCTGGCCTCAGTGGGCTGGTGGGAAATGTCTCCAGTGGCCGCCTTGGGGCCTTGGGCTAAGTGCTTTGCTAGCTTGGCTCCTCCCAGCTGCCCTGGGAGGTGGGTTTTAGGTACCTAACTCGCCCAAAGCCACGCAGACAAGTGGCAAAGCCAAGACTGAACTAGGGAGCCTGAGGCCAAGGCCCACCTTCTTATAAGGGATGTAGGTGCCCAGTGGACCCAACTCCGTCAGGAAGTCCCAGGGCTTAGGCACTTGGGGGGGCCTGTGTGGCAGGCTTGTTTGGACCTTGGTTTGGCCGGTCTGGGCTGGCCAGTCTGCGTGGGGAGGCCTCATTGCTCCCAGCGAAGGGCACCACCCACCTCTGGGAGATTAGCACAGGGTGTGGGTCGAGCTGGGGAGGCCCTCACGGGGCTGAGAGGCAGTGGGGGTGGCTGTGGCCTCCAGTGGTGAGCATGTTCCCTCCGCCGGCTCCCAGGCAGGAAATCACCCCATCAGCTGGAGCTGAGGCCTGAGACAGATTCCGAAGCTCTTGGCGGTGGTTCCTGCACATCTGGAGCTGCGTTCCCTCTCTGGGCCAAGGCAGCCCTGGGAGGCTGCAGCTGTTGGCGGCCAGTCTCCACCCCCAGGCCTTGGGGACAAGCCTGAGTGGGGAACATTCTTCCAGGCTCTGCCACTAGGTATGCTTGGCGGAGGGGTTTTGTTCAGCTGTGGGTGGGGTTCAGGAGTGGCCTTGGCAGCTCATCTGCTCCTAGGCTGCTGGACCAGATGTGCACACAGTGACACGCATGCACACAGGGTGGACACACACAAACGCGTCCACACACGTCCACACTGATAGCACTCACACGCTGCTCGGCAGACCCAACCCACAAGCCTTCCCAACAACGCCCTTGCCTGCGTGGCCGAGGGGATTCCTCTTCAGGCACCAGCTGGGAGCCCCCATCCGCAGAACCCCTGTGTCCTGCTCCAAGCTGGGGGTGCTGCTTCCGGTAAGAAGAGGCCACATGCTGGGCAGCAGCTGCTCAGCCTGCACACCCCCACATCCTGACTCCTCCCAAGCATTTCCCGTCTACGGGAAGGCCACGCAAGGGTCAGAGCTGCCATTCTGCTGAAGCTGGATGGGGAGCAAGTGGGGTTCTGGGCGGGGCCTCGGCCATGACTCGAACCAGGGCTCCAGGGGGAAGGGACGCGCTCTCCAGCCAGCGAGTCATCTGGCAAGCATGAGTGGGCACTGCTGTACCTGAGCTTCTGGGGAGCACGCAGGGGCTGGTGGCCAGGGGTGGGAAGGGGCAGGCCCAGGAGGCAGGCACGCGGGTGAGCCCATGGGAGCCCCCCCGCTCCCCCAAGACAAAAGATCACCCAGGACCGAGGTCCAGCCAAACAGCAGCTTTATTAGTGATGCTGGATTCTTTCCGTACATACGATAAACACAGAATGTTCCCCAGGGCACCACGGGCCTCTGGGGGTCGGGGACAATACTGTGTAGCATTTATACTGGAGTGACATAAATTAAGCTTTGGTGGACAGGTTTTCAGGAGTTAACATTGTGAGACGAACACTGCACACAACACTGGCTCTCAACGTGAACTGGGTTTTAGCCAGGGGGTAACTTGTGGGTGGCGGCCACTGCCGGCCCCGCGGCAGGGGGCGCCTAGGGCTGAGGCTCCGCTGTGCCCTGTCGCTTGGCCTTCATCTGCAGGTACCGCCCTTTGCCTTCCTCAAAGCGCTTCTTTTCGTCCTCGGTCTCGGGCTGTGGATCAGACACAGAAACAGGCAGGTCAGATATGCAGCAGAAACGGGCACCGCGAGCTCCTGCCCCAGCTCTGCGGGCCTCCTGGGACCGCCTGGGTGCCAAGCCCCAACCTCCTGACAGGCCCGTCGACTGGCCAAGATGCTTGGAAGGGCCGGGAGCCTCCCATAGCAGAGACCCTCTGAGGGGCACCAGGAAGGGGCCCCTGTAGCATTGCACGGACACAGGCAACGGGGAAGTGACCGAGTCCCGTGGGCACCCCCACGTCACCTTTCACAACACGGGACCCCACGGGCGGCGGTGCCTCTTTGACAATGAACTTCGGCTAGAATGGAGCTGATACAAAGCAGGCAGGAAGGCCTGCGGCAGAGCCGGGTGAGGGGAAGGAAAAGGGGGCCCCGCTGGGGACTCCCACGTCCGCCCCACTCCCAGGGACGCCAGCTGCTCACGGCCTCTGCTCGCAAGGGCGGTGGGGACAAACACTGCGCTGGCCATGTGACCTTGAGGACACTTCACTGTACTGGGAGTGAGTGGTGAGTGACCACTTTGTGGGCAGGACAGAATGGATGCCCAGGAAGTGACATCTTGAGTCCTTGTCACCCCTTCTGTGCTTTCTTCCACTGAGCAACTTGCCTGGTCCCTATACGAAGGAGCAGAGCCGACTGACCAGCTGGGACTTGGCCAAAGGCTGGTTTTGCCCAGGATGGTTCTGGTTCTTGCCTGCTGACCTGGGGGAGTAGGAAACGGCTCCCCTTTCACTCTCAAGAGTGGCCTGGCCTGGCTGCTGAGTGGTGTGGCCCCTGGACAGAGGTCACTGCAGCAGCACCACATGGTCACTTCCCGAGGCCCCGCCTGTCTCGCCGCAGAGTTCTCTTCTGCCCGCCTGACTGGGGATTCAGGTTTGAAGAACAGCGCAAGCTCCTCCGGGATGAGATTTCCTTGTGACACTCGGAGGGCGTCTGACAGCCGAAGAAATGGGGCAGTGGCCCTTCGTCCACAGTGACACCAGGCCCCGGAAGCTATTTTTAGGCCCAAGTGTTTTACAGACAAATGGTGTATTGGCAAAGAGCGCACTCAGCCAGGGGATGTAACGCCAGGTTAGAACAAATGCTCCTCCCTCTCGGCCTTCACAGGAATTCTTCAAATGCCACCAGATGTCCACTGTCAAAACCGTGTGGCCTAGAGCCAACGGAGCACTTGGGTATCTCAAGGACGAGGCCCGCGCTCCTTACAGGGGTTCCGGTTCCTGTTGCAGCCTCTGGCGCACATGTGGAAAATGGCAGCCTTTCCAAGACACCTATTGAAGAAGGCGTTCCCACTGCTCTGGTTTCGTCTCCGACTTTTTTTAAAAAAATGAAATTTGAGGCTATGTAATTTGACCTGAAACAGCCCAGGGAAAAGGAAACGTTCTATCTCACTCGGAGCAGGCAGTTCTAAGGGGGCAAGACCCCTGAGCTTCCTGGGGGCTGCAAGACTCAGAGCCCAGCCCCCACTGCAGAAGGTGCCCCATGAGGCCAAGGCCACACATCCTGCTGGACACGCCCAGGCAGAATAGGCTAGAGTGGGCCTTCCCAAACCTGAGGGCTTGCAGATACAGAGTCTGGTCCAGCGGCTCTGGGGGCTGGGAGCTGAGACTCAATTCTAACAAATGTCCGGATGATGCAATGCATGTGGACCGCTTTGAGTAGCTGGGCCCTGGACCCTCTCCATCCATCCCTGCCCCAAATGGGGGTTGGATGACGTGGCCGAGAAGACCTGTGGCTCCCCTCCTGCGGCCTCACAGAGGACCCCTCTGTGGGCAGTGCATGAGTCCCGGGGCTGAGAAACGGGCAGTCGGGGCCTGGTGGGGCTGGGCGGGAGCAGGAGAGCTGGGCGAGGGGCGAGTGTGTGCCGGACCGCGGGCTCCGGCTCCTCCTGGCTGAGCCAGCCCCTCTGCTTGGGGTTCTGGAGCAGGCGGCCCTCCGTCCAGCGGGTGGAGTCCCCATGCCTGGGGCAGGAGAAGAAAGGCAGGAGGCTTGGAAATGAAAGGACTTCTCAAAAGCAACAGAGCGTGAGCCCGGCCTGCCGAGCAAAGGTGACCGAGAGGGGATGGCCGCCTGGGCCCTCTGCCGAGCCCTCTGGAACCAGGTCCTGTCTGACGTGAGGGGACTTCCTCTTCTCCAGCCCACTGGTATCCCTGGACACCCGGCAGATGTGGCATTCCAGCAAGATACGTGGTCCCCAAGTGCCCGGGTCACCAGCTAAGTGCCCTTGTGGCTCAAGGGAACTGGGAGGGATCCCGGGGAGGGGTGGCAAATGGCCCTCAGTGCAAACCTGCGGTAGGTAACCCCAACTCCAAAAAGGACATGGAGCCTTTCTGATGGTCTGTGCCAGGGCGGTTTGCGACCTACATGCTAACTGGCCTCTTGCAATACAAAGGCCCAGATAAAATAAATCTGTTTAACTTTGTTTAATCCGGGCTTTCCCAAACTAATTTTGGCCAGGGACCCCTTTCCTAAGGAACCCCATCTTGGGGTTGGCTACCCACACTCTTCTGCCATCAGCTTGCTGAATGTGCCCTCAAGGCTGGCCCTGGCAACCCTGGCAGATGCTGGGATGGGACAGGGGCCAGGCTCCAGCAGCCTCCAGAACGGGCCATTTCTGACAGGCGTGGGCTGGCCTACCCGGGACCTCACCCTACTGCACGGCCTACCCGGGACCTCACCCTACTGCACGGCCTACCCAGGACCTCACCCTACTGCACGGCCTACCTGGGACCTCACCCTACTGCACGCCCTTCCCGGAGTGGCCTCTGTGTTCGGCCCCCGAACCAGCCCAGCCTCCCCTCTGGGGCTAGCGTGGGGAGATCGGCCAGCCTGGTTTGAGTCTGGTTTCACCACAGACCAGTCCAGAGGCCCCGCAGACTGACCCTCATTCCTCCCTATATCCAGTATCCAACCCCAGTGCTGCTAAGCGGACCAAAGTCCTCCTAGCCGTCCGCGTCCAACACCGGTCATTACAACCAACACAAAGAGAGGAAGGAGCCGGCTCTAAGGCCCACCTCACGCGTCAGCACGTTATGTGAAACGTCCAGAACAGGAGACTCCAGAGAGCAGATCAGTGGCTGCCAGGGGCTGAGGGGCGCGGTGTCTTACTCGTGATGACACGTTCTAAAACCGATTGTGGTGGTGGGTGCACACACTAGCGCCCACCGGGCGCACACCCTGAATGGCAGAACGGCCTGGAGCGTGACTCCACCTCAGCGAAGCTGCTCCAAACCGGCACCGCCACGGAGGTGGCGCACACCTCACGGTTCCCAGGTTCACACGGCGGTGCCCCCACCCAATCCTGGCACGCGGAGGGCAGCAGGGCACAGGAAACACGCACTGTGTGCCCCGCAGCCGAGCCCCGACGCCCCCTGCTCCTCACGCAGCACCTCCCGCACGCCGCTGTGCCGGCTCTGGGGCCCTGCCCCGGGGAGCCGACCGCACACCGACGCGAGGCAGATTATGCACTACGGAGGACAGCGACAACCGTGTGGCCCAGACAAAGCAGAGCAGAGCCACGGGCAGAGAGGGCCAGGGCTGGGAGGGTTCCTAAGAAAGTCTCCATCTACAGCGAGGTCCCAAGGGTGCTCTGGACAGAGCAAACAGCAGAGCCAGGCCCATTCGGGAGACCAAGCCACCCAGGGCATGGCCTCCTTGGAAGGGAGCAGAGCACGGCGTGTCTGGAATAGCTTAGCGCAGGCCCTCGGGCAGCTCCTGTCGCCCTGTGCCTCAGTTTCCTCATCCGTGAGCAGGTCCCTCCCAGGTCTGTGTGGATTCAAGGAGCAGGGAGCGCGCCCGCGCCGTCCCCAACTGGAGGCCGCAGCACGTGGAGGCCCGTGAGCTAACGGGCTCGGCCGCCGGGGCGGCGTTCGACCCGGACGCCTGCCGACTCTTCTCCCACTCTGGGCACAGGAAGCCCAGAGAGACACAGCGTTTGCAAAGCGAGAGCTGCCGGGGGCGCAGGTCCCACAGCAGCCGGGGAACGAAGGCTGGAGTCTTGTCCACTAGTGAGAATAAGCCAACGACGAGGAGCCCTAATGTCGGAGATGCCAGCTGACCCGCGTGGTGGCGGCGGTGGCACTGAGATTTGCTGCCAGTGGTGGGAAGCGTGTGTGAGCTTGGCCCGCGTTGGTCACCGCAGGTGTCCTTCTTACTTTCGCATATTATTTGAACTTTCTGTAATTGGTAAGAATGGAAAACTGACTAGACCCGTGAGGGCGGCTGCAGCCCTAGGACATAAACTTTGGGGTGCAGGGTGGGCCCCGGGAGCACTGCATGGGAACACCAGTGTTTGGAGTCGGGTGGGGAGGCAGTGTCAGGTCCTCATCGGCCGCTGTCCTTCCCAAGGAGGTGCTCGCTGTTGGGCTGCGCACGTGCAGTGTGGGCACCTCGCCCCCCACTCCCCCCGGGGCCCTCAGGTGCAGCTGTGACGACTCAGTCTCGCAGAGCTTTCTGGAGCTCGTCCCGCAGTCAGGCCCTCGGCCAGACGACTTCCACCGTCGGCAGGTACTCACCCCTCGGCACCAACAAGGGTCCCAGAGCGTGTGTGCCAAAGGCTCTGGATGCTTCTCTCACTAGTCAGTCATCGTGGGACCCGAGGCGGGGCACCAGCTGAGGTGCAGGTATCTGCCATCTATGCTGCTGGTTCCAAGGACTGAATTCTCAGTCCGCCCAGTGGAGGGAGATGCCGGCAACCCACCCCAGGCCTCAGGGCTGCTCTGAAGCTTAACATCTCACAACGAACGCATCCTCCAGGACCTGCCCTCAGAAAGAACTAACACCGCCTAGGGATGGGTGTGGAGACAGCTGGCCAGCCGGCCAGAGCAGCCAAGACACGAACAAGGCCTGGGGTAGGAGCCAGTGGACGGCTCGTCTGTCCTGTCTCTGGGGACAGCGGTGTGTGCTGAGTGTTCTGGACTCTAGAGTCCAGCCAGGCCTTGGAGTAAGATCTGTTGGCAGCAGGGCATAAGCGCC